GATCCAGGAGGGCCGCTCGCCTCTTCCCGGAGCCAGGAGCCAAATGCCTGCAGGGAACGGCCGAGGAGGGATGGCCCCGCTCCCGCCAGCACCCCTGGCCGCTGGGCGGGCTGGAAGGGCCGGTGTGCAGGGTGAGGATGGAGCAGGACGGGGTCGCCCCGGGCCACCTGGACGTGGTTGGGGTCCTCACCCACTACGAGAGCGGCTTCATCAAACTGCTGCGGCGGCGCCGCGCCTGGGACGGGAACGTCCGGCGGAGCTTCGGGCTGTGCCCGGCCCCGGAGGAGGGAGCGGCTCCCCATCCCCTGCAGCGCATCCACGGGCACCTGGTGGAGCCGGGCCCGGAGCGATTCCTCGTCCTGCACCTGGAGGAAGGTTGGTAGGACATCCCCGCGCCGGGGAGGAGCACAGAGGGGAGGATGCAGGGGTTTTTGGGATGGGGGGCGGGTGATGCTGTTTGTTGGTCCCGAGTCAGATTTAAACACGGAATTAAACCTGAGGGGTTGGATTCCTTTTAAAATAAGGGAAAGACATTGTAAGTGCTAAATCTTCTTAAAAAGCGCTGTAAAACTGGCACTTTACTGTGTCTTTCTGGGTACGTTTTTAAGGAGGTTTAGCAGGGATGATGGATTGAGCAACAGGGCACCTGTCCCTGCCTCTGTCCCTGCCTGGTGACACCCGGGTGTCACATTCTTGGTGGTCTCTGCTCTGCTCTCGAGATTATGAGTGTTTCTCGCTTTCTGCCTCAGCGATGTGGGTTTGGACACTGTCCCAACTCCGAGAAGAGAGGGGAGGGTCGGACCCAGCTGATCCCGCTGTGCCCTGAGCCCCCTCCCACACGGGGGCTGTGGAGCCGCTCAGGCTTAGGGAAAAACCAGGAACACCTTCCCGTGTCCCATCCCGGGGGTGATCCTGGCGCTGCAGGGGGAGCACAGCCCGCTGTTTTATCCCTAGCAAGAGAGTCCCCTCTTCCTGAAATCCCTTCCTGCCATCCCGCGGTTTGGAATTGCAGCTGAACTCTCCAGGTCGGGCAGTGGGGAAGTGGCGCTTCCCTGGGCAGTGGCCACAATGCCCCCGAGCCCCTGGATGGCAACTCCAATGACAACTTTCCATGGGGACCTGGGGGTGGCAGCCCCTGCTCTCCGGGTGCAGGGTTTGCCTCCTGCCACCTCCCCGGGGCCGGGGACAGGGATTTGCCGTGGTTTCCCACCCTGTCCCTGCTGTCCCAGCTCTGCGTGGGAACGGGGCTCAGCCCTGAAGCCCCTTCCTCACCGCCCGGGGTCCCCGCGGTGCCGGGGGGGATTCAGGGATTCACCCCGTGTCTCCCCCGTTCCAGTGCAGTGGGAAGCGCAGGCCAAGCTGCGGTTCCAGCTGGTTTTCCAGGCGGAGCTGGGCCGGGCGCTGGGGGAGCTGCAGGCGGCCGCGATGCTCTTCTACCTGGGCCGGTCCGAGGGCTCCGGGCGCCCGCAGGAGCTGCTGGTCACGGGCCCGGGGCTGGCGAGGGACCAGGTGGGTCGGGGGCCGGGCCAGGGTGGGATTGGGGCGGGAATGTCCCGGCTCTGCTACCCAGCACCGTTGCCATCCCCTCCCAGTCCACTCCCAATCCCTTCCCAGTCCCTTTGCCACCCCCTGCAACTCCTTTGCTCCTCACAGTCCCTTTTCTACCACTCCCAATCCTGCTACCATCCCCTCCCAGTCCATTCACCATCTTCTCCCAGTCCCTTTGTGATCCCCTCCCAGTCCATCCACCATCCTTTCCCAGCCCCTTTGCCACGCCCTCCAGCTCCTTTGCCATCCTCCCCCAGTCCCTTTGCCAGCCCTTCCCAGTCCATTCACAATCCCCTCACAACCCCTTTGCCATCCCTTGCAGCGACTTTGCTCCTCACAGTTCTTTTGCCACCCCCTCCCAGTCCCTTCACCGTCTCCTCCCAGTTCCTTCATGATCCCCTCCCAGTCCATTCCCCATCCCTTCCCAGTCCCTTTGCCACCCCCTGCAACTCCTTTGCTCCTCACAGTCCCTTTTGGACCCCTCCCAGTGCTGTTGCCATCCCCTCCCAGTCCATTCGCCATCCTTTCCTACCCCCTCCAGTCCCTATGGCATCATCTCACGGTCCCTTGGCCAACCCTTCCCATCCCTTTGCCATCCCATCCCGGCATTCCCGCCCCGTCTGTGCCTCCCTCCGGCCGGGCCGTGCCTGCAGATGGAGCTCTTATCCCGTTCCCAGCTCCCGAAGGGCCGGAGGGGCTGCCCGGGGTGCCCAGCCCGGTCTGGGGGTCCCGCTCCCCCGCCTGCCCCGGGGCTCTCTGCCCACCCGGGGCGTCCCGTGGGCTCCCGGAGCAGCTCCGGGCTTGGGGACAAAGCCACCGTCCCGGGGCCACCGCGGGCTGGGTGACCCTGGGCCCGCAGGGACCCACGAGTGGGTGTGTGCCCGGGATGTCTCACCCACGCCCCGGCTCTGCCGTGTCTCCCACCCCCGCGCAGAGGCTCTGCCTGTCCAGGGACACCCAGTACCTGGTCCTGGGAGCCGCCGCCGGCTCCGTCACCCGCGGCCCGGAGCAGCTCCGCTTCTCGGCATCGCTCACGCTCCGCGGCGCCGAGGGAGGTACGGACCGGGGGGACCCGCCCGAGCGTCCCCACTCGGGTTTTTGGGGTCTTCTCCACCCCCGAGGGGGTGGGGACATGCCGTGGACCCCAGATTACCGCCCTCACCGCTCCTCGTCCCCCCAGGTGCCCCCCTGCCCCCCTCGGAGGTGCAGCAGCTCCTGTTCGGCTCCGACGACAAATGTTTCACCCGCATGACCCCGGTGCTGCTGCTGCTGGCCAAGGCACGGCGCGGGGAGGAGGAGGAGGAGGCGGCTTTGGCCCCTTCCTCCTACCTCTCTGCTGACGGGGTGGTGGACACGGCTCCGTACCCACAGTTCAGGTCCGTGGCCTTAGGAACGGGAAAACACAAGGACTAGGAGGCAGGGGATGCGGGACCACGGCAGGAGGATGTGGAGCACGACCTGGTGAGACCTCCAGGATACACGAGGACCCCGTGACCCTCCCTGTGTTCTCCTTGCAGCCCACCCCAGGCCGGGACCGAGGAGCTGCCGACCCCCACGGGCCCGAGCCAGGCCAACGCTTCATCCCCAGCTCCCGGGAGCAGCAGCCAGTTCCTGGGAATGCTGACCCGCTTCATCCGGCAGGTCCTGAGCTCCTCCAGCGAGCCGCCCCCCCAGCCCAGCGCCCACCACTGGCTGGACTTCCAGGCGATGGAGACCCTCCCTCACCAGCTGCTCAACCTGTCGGGGGAGGCGGCGCTGGAGCGGCTGGTGCAGTCGGAGGAGCCCTCGGTGCTGCTGTTCCCGCAGGACAGCGGGGCCGTGCTGGAGCAGCTCCTGGGGCACTGGCAGCCCGAGGGCACCGTGCTGGAGCTGCTCACGGGCAAACTGCGCGGGGTCATCCAGGAGCTGGGGGACATCCCGGCTTTCCAGGCCAACACGGCGCTTTTCCAGCACCTCCTGAGCTTCTGCTACTTCCCGCTGGGCGGGGAGGAGGGCGAGGCCCCGGAGCGGGTGCCGGGCTCCAGGAAGCTGCACACGCTGCTGCTGCTGAAGGCGCTGCAGTCGGTGCGGGCGCGGTGGCAGGAGCGCAGGAAGGTGCAGCGGCAGCACCGCAGCGCCCGCCCCCCGGCCCACTGCCGCCTCCAGGAGCTCACCATCGACCTGCACGACCGCAAGTTCATCGTCATGCCCACCGTGTACGCGGCCAACAACTGCGAGGGGCCCTGCAGGCTGCCACTGTCCACCCGCGTGCCCAGCTACTACTCGCACACGGTGCTGCTGCTGGGGATGCAGGAGCGGGGGTCGCCGCTGCAGCGCCCGCCCTGCTGCGTCCCTGTGCGCTACTCCGACCAGCTCATCATCAGCCTCTCGCCGGAGGGGCTGGAGGTCCGCAAGTTCCCCAACATGGTGGCAGAGGAGTGTGGATGTCGGTGAGGCTCCTCCCGGCCCGCCCCCCACCCCCTGGCAGCCGGAGCTGGCGCTTCCCGTGCAGACGGGAGCTCCTGGGTGTCCTTTCCCCACGGTTTGGCTCTTTAGTGTCTCTCTCTGGTCTCTCTGGTGTCTCCTTTGCTCCCCACGGTCGCTTTTCCACCCCTCCCAGTCCTGCTGCCGTCCCCTCCCAGCTCCTTTGCCATCCTCTCCCAGTCCCCTCCCCATCTCCTCCCAGTCCCTCCCTGATCCCTTTCCTGCCCCTGCCGCGGGCTCTGACCCCGTGGGGGGCTGTGGGGCCGTGGGGGGAGGGCAAAGCCTGGGCAGATCCAGCCAGGGGTGCGCTTATTTATCCCTCCCTTTCTGCTCCCGTAGTGGCTGGGAAGGGAAGGTGTTGCTTCCTCCAAGCATCCCCCTGGCCGTTTCCCAACACATCATTAGCCCTCCCCGGCCACTCGACTCCCAGAGCAAGAGGCCAAATGCCCTGGCAGGGACCAGCCCTGTGTGAGTGGGGCCGTGGGGACCCACTGGCCGTGGCCTGGGGCTCCTGGCTGGGTCACACCCCTGGCACCCTGCCCTGACCCCGCTCCCAGAGGGAGGGAGGGAGGGAGGGAGTGATCCCGTTACACCTCCCAGGCTCTCACACCATTAATGGGAGCGGGAGCAAACGGCTGCCAGAGCACCTGCTCCGTGTCCCCGCCGGCATCAGCACCCGGATCATCTTTCCAGCTGAGCCCAGCCCTCAGACAGGGAGCCAAACCCTTGGGAAGCAGCTCCTGAGCTTGTCCCTGGCTGCACCTCCCAAAGCTGGGAGCAGCCCTTGGGCTTTGCAGTGTCCCCACGGGGCTGAGTTGGCACCCACTGGCCCTGCCCTGCGGCCCCACAGGGACACCCGGGTTAGCCCTGAGCCCCTCAGGGCTGGGGGGCACAGAAAACACACCCACACAGCCAGGGACAAGGGCTTTTCTTGGTGTTTCTTTCCATTCTTCCCCCCCTTTTTTTTTTTAAATATCCAGTTGAACACCTTATTAAAAATGAAAATAGTTTATTTTAACCTCTGTTGACTCGGCAAATACCGAAACCTGCCGTGGGTTGGGGCTGTGAACGTCTCCTGCAGTGGCTCCAGTGCTGGGTGAGGTTGCCCTCGTGTTTCCTTCCTGAAACAGGTGAAGGCAAAGCCTGAAGGGATCCCCAGTGAGGGGCTCCAACCTGGTTCTGTTTCCTGCAAGTTTTGTGCCACCCTGAGCGATGGCACCGACTGAGGGTCGGGGGGTCCTGTCCCCGACGTCCCTCTGGTTCTGTAACCCAGGATATTCTTCTCTCTTGATCTGCTTTGAATAAAACCAGTAACTGAAGAGCTGCACAGTCTGGAGACAAACTCTGTTCCCTGGGGTCAGTGGGGCCCCACTGTGCTGCCCTGGGTGGAAATGACCCCGTGGGTGGAGAGGACCTGCAGGGGGATTTCGGGTGGGGACGGGGCAGTGACACGAAGCCCAAAGAGAAGCTCCTTTCCTGGGTCCTTCCAGGTCACCTTTGGCCATTTGATCCAGGGGGGCCCAAAGCTCCTGGGGAGGCTCGTGCCAGGCTCCTGGGCTGCTCTGCTGCTGCCCAGGGATCCTGGGGTGCTGCCCATGACCCAGGGATGTCTCTGGGGAACAGGCAGGAGCAGAGGGCAGTGGCAGGCGTGGATCCCCCTGGATCCCCCTGGATCCGGTGTCATGGAGCCCCTCGGCCACCCCGGCCTCAGTCGCGCCTCTTGCCCTCCCTGGCCCTGTTGTCCCTGCCCGGAGCTGATTCCCAGGGTTTCCTGCCCTTCTGCTGCTTCCAGTCCCTCCTGGGGCTCTCCTGGCTGGGACGGCCCTTCCCCCCCTCCCTCCTGGGCTCGTCCCGCTCCCGCCGGCTCTCCTTCCTCTCCTTCCTCTCCTTCCTCTCCTTCTTCTCCTTCCTCTCCCGGTCCCGTTTCTTCTGGGGCTGCTGCTCAGGCTCCCTGGGGGTCCTGGGGGCTCTGCCAGGTTTGTCCCCTGGTGTCCTGTCCTTGGCTCGTGCCTCCCTCCGGCTGCTCCGCTCCGCATGGGCGGCACGGCCTTCCCGGGCCTTCTTCTGCTCCTTCTTCTCCTTTTTCTTCTTCTCCTCCTTCTCCTCCTCTTCTTCCTGCTCCTCCTCCTCCTCTTCTTCCTCCTCCTCCTCTTCCTCCTCCTTCTCCTCCTCTTTCTCCTCCTTTTCTTCCTCATCCTCCTCTTCCTTTTCTTCCTCCTCCTCCTCCTCCTTTTCCTCCTCCTCTTCCTCCTTCTCCACCTCCTTCTCCATCTTCTTCTCCTGCTTCTCCTGGCTCTTCTTCACCTCTGTTGCAGCCGGTGGCACCTCAGGGACATCTGTGGGTTCTTCATCCTTGTCCTCATCCTCACCCTTGTCCTCGTCTTCATCCTTGTCCCCATCCTTGTCCTCGTCCTTGTCCTCATCCTCTGGAGTCGCGCGGCCAAACCACTTCTTGAAGATCCAGGGCTCTCCCTGTGCGGGGACAGAGGGGACCAGGACGTGGTGATGCAGCCCCAGGGACAGGACCCTCCTCCATCCCTCCCCAGAATGCTCCCCCCCAGCCCCGTACCAGGTTGCTGTCGGCTTCGCTGTCATCGTCATCCTCCTCTTCCTCCTCCTCCTCATCTCCACCCCCCTCCACTGCGCTGCTCTGCGGAGGGACAGGCTGGGCTGTGCTCACCTCTGGGACCTCCTCCTTGGGGCTCAGCACCTCTGGGAGGGGAGAGGGACAGGCCATGGATGTTTGGGTGGGATGTCCCAGGCACGGGCCACCCCACCCTGGGACATGGCCCCAGCTCAGGCTGGATCTGTGGGACTGGGACCACGCGGAGCTCTGAACCCACCGGGAAGGGGAGGGGGTGCTGGTGGAGGCTCCTGCCTCGGGCCTCGGGTGATCCCCTCCTTGGAGCATGGTGCTGGAAGAGAGGAGGGTGGAGAGGCAGGGGGTGGCAGCAGGGTCTGGCCACCCTGGCCCCCTCCCTGCGGCCCCCAGCTCACCTTGGAGCACCTGGAAGGTGACGCTGATCAGGGCCACCACCGAGGCCACCAGGATGCACTTGTTGAGGGTGAGCCCTTCCCAGAGCAGCGGCTCCTCCGAGGGGTCCAGGCTGGGGGGCTCGGCCTTGCTCTGCACAGGGAGGCTCCTGGGCACTGGGGACCCCCCCGAGGAAAACAGAGTTAATGGGAGAGCTGGGAAGGGCCAAAGGGATCTGGGATGGGGGGTGGGAAGGGGTCTCGACATCCTCTCCTGCACAGCCCACCCTGGGCAGGGACAGAGAAGGGGGCACAGGAAGGGAAATGAGCAGGGACAGGGACAGGGACACAGGCAGGGGTGGAAGGGACAGGGGGCAGGAGGTCCCTGCCCTGCTCCTGCCAGGGGTTTGCACTGCAGGAGCAGAGAGCAGAGTGTCCCAGGGGGCTGAGCCCGAGGGATTTGGGCCATCAGAGTATCCTGGGAATCACACTGGGAAAACCTCTGCCCGTGTTCTCCCTCCAGCAGAAAATCTAGGCAGGGTGGGGAGGAGGAGGAGGAGGAGGAAGAGGAGGGAGATTTGCCAGGGGGCTGAGAAGCCCCAGGTCCCTGAGCTGCCAGGGGACCGTGGAGAGCAGAGCTCCTCCCGCGGCCAGGCAGGCTGGGAACACGGGATTGCCCCACCTGAGGCCAGGGTGGCCATCCCGGCGCGGGGAATTTCCAGGGAATCTTCCCCCCACACCTACCTGGAGGTGCTGCCTTGGCTCCCACCTTCTCCACCCGCTTCCTCTCCGCCGCTTTCCTTTCCCCTCCGAGCGACGCCGGCTCTGGCATGCTCAGCTCAGCTCGGCTCAGTTCAGCTCAGCTCGGCTCGGCTCAATTCAGCTCGGCTCAATTCAGCTCGGCTCAATTCAGCTCAGTTTAGCTCAGCTCGGGCTGCTCCGGGTGCTGCTCACACACCAACCGGGCACTCCCCCCTCTAATCCCTGAGGGGAGGGGGTGAGGTGGCCGGGTGGGCTTGGAAGGGGCACGATGCGGGTCTGGGGCCCCCCCAGCACCCGGGAGAGAGACCCCGACCCCGTGTCCCTTCCCAACCCCTTTGCCATCTCCTGCAACTCCTTTGCTCCTCCCAGCCCCTTTTCCACCCCTCCCGCTCCTGTTGCCATCCCCCCCCAGTCCCTTTGCCCGCTCACCCCTGCAGTGCCCACCCTGTCCTTGCCCCCGGGGGCTGAGCTGCCCCTGCCGCCACCCCGAGTGGGCACTGCTGTGTTCCCTCAGCAGCCTTAAAACCAAACTGGGGGTTATTTTCTATCTGCTAAGCCGGATTTAGCCCCGAGCCGGCCCTGACACACGCGGGTGGGCGGTGGCCGTGGCCCCCCAGGCTGTGCTTGAGGAGTCCCCACCCTGGAGCAGCCCTGGGGGCTGCGTTTGGGGCTGCGGGGTTGCAGCATCCACGGAGGGCAGCGTGTGGGATCCGGGGTCCGGGATCCTGGCTGGATCTCCGGCAGGGTCGGGAGCCGCGCTGGGGTCTGTGCTGGGTGCCGGGTGGGGTTTGGTGGCCGGGGTTGGGTCACGGTCGGTGCCAGCGGCACCCAGAGCTGCCCATGGGCACAGATCAGTGACAGCGACAGCTGAAGGACCTCAGGTCCCCCCCCGGGACGGACGTGCTGCACACCCCGCAGAGCCTTCCCGGCTGGAATGCCGTGGGACAGCCCCTGCTCATCCCCCTGCCCTGCCCTGGCACGGGGGTCCCCCCTGGCACCCTCACCCCGCATTTTTCGGGCACTTACATGGGCTCCTGTTCTCCTGTCGCTGCCGCCGCTCACCCCAGCGCTGGCATCTGGCAAAGACAAGCACAGAGGGGGGCACTGGGGGACAAATTCGGGGAGGTGGGAACTGCCGGGCCTGGGGGTGTGCGGGCACCTCGATGCCACCCCCTGGCCTGCAGAGAGGGGACATCACGGCCGCGTTTCCCCTGTTAGTGCTGCAAAAAAAACCCCTGGGCTGTGGAGGCAGCGGCTGAGGAGGTCGGGGTGTAATGGGAGCACCGGGCACGTCTGAGCCCCAAAATCCTGGATATCCCTGTGGAGCTGCACCTGAGGGGACAGTGATTCCCCCCCTGCCAAGGCACACAGGGGGTTGAACAACCCAGGGAGTGCCAGGGCACCCTGCAAACGTGTCTGGAGGCTTGGCAGAAGGAGAAGTTCCGGGTACCGTGGAGCAACCAGACCTCAGAGAAGAGCTCAAGGCACCCCAGAGGGTCACAAAGCTCTGGGATGACTCTCAGGGCTTTTCCCAGCTGTGGAGTGGGAGAAAAAACCGGAATGTCCCCAGAGCTCTGAAATAAAGCAGGGCTGGGGGGTGTGTTGGGCTCCTCAGGGTTCTCTGCCCTGCCTGGACTGCAGGGGTGAGGAGGCACCAACAAATCCCATCACCCCTCAGCCCTCCTGGCATCTCCGAGTCCAGCCCTCACTCTGCTGGGATCTGGGTGCCAGAAGGAGGAAATTTTTCTGCCCTCTTCGAGCTGCTTTCAGTTTATTTTCCCCTCGTGGAACACTGAGAAGAAACACCAGTTCCCAGGAGGAAATTCAAGACTCGATACTGGGAGCAAAACAGGTAAATAAGGAGGAAAGCTTATTTGGCCAAGGACCAAAGGTCTGAAAGATCTTTGCTTTCCAGAGGAAATAAAGATAAATAAGTAAATAAATAAAAATTAATAAATAAATAAGTCAGTCTTTGGGTTTGTTTGAGTGATGGTGAGTCTGGTCCATTCTGTGCTGGGAAGGGATGGAGCTTCCCCAGGGCTCTCGTGGTGCCTCCATGGGGTTCCCAGACCCAGGGAAAGCCACAGAGATGCAGAATTTTTCCTCAGATGGGTTTCTCTCCCACGTTTTTGAGCTTCACATCCATTCACTGGGGTTTAGGACAGGTTTGGGGCTCAGATGAGTGTGAGGGAGATGGAGGAGGGCACGACCTCCTCTCCTCTGCTCCTTGGGCATGGCTGGTGCTCCCACGGAGCTGGTGCCACGTGGATGCCCCTCAGTGCCCCAGGTCACCCCCGTGATTTCACACCACCACGAAGAGCCTTCTGTGCCAGGCTGAGCCCCCTCCTGCAGAGCCTCCCACGCCCTGGCAGAGGTGCTGGCACAGCCACGGCTGCGGTTGGCAGCTCCTGGTGAGGACAAGGTGCCTCTTCTCTCGCCCCTCCTTGGCCACCTCTGAGCATTCTCTGCCCACCCAACAGCTCGTTGGGGGCCTCAGGGCATCCCAAATCTTCCTCCAGTGCCACACAAGGACCTGCTGCCACATCACATGGGGGGGCTGTCGCTAAACCCGAGCGGGTGGCAGCACCAGTGCCACCCCATCACAGCCCTGCTGGGCTGCCCAGCCCTCTTTCCACATCTCCACCCCTGGGGCTTTCCCAGGATGGAGGAGCCCAAACAGCCTCCAGACCAGTGCCAGGGATGGTCATCAATGCCAGGGATGGTCATCAATGCCAGGGATGGTCATCAATGCCAGGGATGGTCACCAATGCCAGGGATGGTCCCCAATGCCAGGGACATTTTGCCCACGGCAGGGCTGGTCACCCACAGCCCCCAACTCCAGCTCCAGCCCTTGGCTCATCCCGACCCTGCCCAGGGAACCTCCCCCGCACCTGCCCGACCATCCATCCCGGTCACTCCTCGCACCAGCCCCTCTCTTGAACGCCCCCAAACCGCACCTCTTAACAAATAACCAGCTCTGCCCCGCTGCCACCGGCACTTCTGCTGCACGGAGCTCCCGGGGGTGCCTTTTACCGCTGACTCACATCAAAGAAACTTCCAAAAATCGCCGCCCCGCCCGCCCCTCTCTCTCTCTCCCGGTTCACACACACCCGGGATGGGCTCCGGGGGTCCCAAATCCCCCCGGCCCGCGGGTGTCCCTCGTGCAACCGGGAGGGTCGAACCCCCCCAAAGCCGTACCTGGGATTCCCAGCGCTGCCTCCTCCTCGCCGGCAGCCCCGGGCTGGCCCCGGCTCGGCGTAATGAACAGCAACAGCTGCCCGAGGGGCCGGAGCAAAATAGCACCCAATCGCTGCTGCCCCAGCCCCGCAGCTCGGCCCCCGGCCCCGGGCATCGGGGTGCGCGGGGTGAGGCTCCAAAGGGCACCGGGAACGGGGATTGTCCCTCCGGGAGCGCCCCCGGGGGATCTGAGCCGGCTGTGGGATGCAGGGGGGGCTCGGAGACCTGCCAGGCACGGGGGACATGGAGAGGGAGGAGGAGAAATCCCCCCCGGGGCCGGCAGGGCTCTGAGAACTCCCGGGGGAAACCTCTGATCCCTCCCACGTCCCTGTTCCTGCAGCAGCGTTCCCGGGAGCCCTGGCACAGGCACAGGAGGGTGGGAGGGGGATGTCCCGTCCCAGCCATTCCCAGGACACAAAGCATCCCATCTGGGGAGCTGCAAAGGACCCTCTGGGACTCGGAGCCCCTGTTTGGCCCCACTCTGAGCCAGCTGTGGGATAGAAGGATGGATGGATGGATGGATGGATGGATGGATGGATGCAGGGATGGATGGATGGATGGATGGATGGATGGATGGAAGGATGGATGGATGGATGGAAGGATGGATGGATGGAGGATGGATGGATGGAGGGATGCAGGGATGGATGCAGGGTTGGATGGAGGGATGGATGGATGCAGGGATGCAGGGATGGATGCAGGGATGGATGGATGGATGGATGCAGGGATGGATGGATGCAGGGATGGATGGATGCAGGGATGGATGGATGGATGCAGGGATGGATGGATGGATGCAGGGATGGATGGAGGGATGGATGGATGGATGCAGGGATGGATGGATGGATGGATGCAGGGATGGATGGATGGATGGATGGATGGATAGGATGAATGGATGCAGGGGATGGATGACTTTAGGAATGCAGAGGTGGTTCAGAGACCTGACAGACACAGGGAAGATGGAGAGAGGAGGAGGACAAATCCCCTGGGACCAGCAGTGCTCAGACAACCAGGGCAGCTTTCCCAGCTGAATTCCCACTCCACTAAGGTGGTTAAAGTCTGTTTGCTCTGCAGGGACACAGTGAAAGCTGAAAATCATCAACAGGCCAAACGAAAAGCCCTTTTCCTCCCAGCTAATCACGTTCCCCACAGTGCTCCTGGGTTTTTTTCCTGCCTCCCCTGGGTGAGCTGCTCCTCCCAGGGAAGATCCACAGGGTGCAGAACTCTCCTCACCCTTTCCAGGACCTTTCCACAGCCTTTTCCCACAGCAGGGAGGGACCAGGGGTGGTTTTGCCTCCACATGTTCAGCTGGGAGCAGTTCCCTGCCGAGCTGCAAAGCCTCCCCCTCCATCCCACAGTTCATCCCAGGCAGATGGAGGAAAGGGATTCCCACAGGCAAATTCTTTCCTAATCCCTTGAAACTCTTCCCCCCTGCCTCCCCAAATCCCGGCTTTTCCCTTGCCCTGAGACTGATAAAAGTGTCTCTGGGAGGGGGGAAACCTGATCTGGCTGTGAGAGCTGCTGGTGGAAGAGTTGGGAGGGCAGGGGAGCAGCTTCCAGGCTAAATATTGACTCCAGGCTTTGGCTTGACGTCATAGTCTCTCTTCCCTGGCTTTCCAGGTTTCCACTGGCCTTGGAATTACACAGAGCACCCCCAAGGCTCTGCCCTGCCCTCACTGTGGCTCGTGGGGCTGGAGAGCATCTGGTGCCAGTTCTGCTGCAGGAACTCAGACTGGGCCCTCCCTGCAGCTCCAGGGATTCGGTTTCACCTGCAAAAACATAGCCAAGGGGGTCTCCTGACTCCTCTCCTGGGTCTGAGAGGCTGTGGAACTGGGCAGGGAGAAGCTCCAGCTGGACATGCTGGTGGATCTCCTGCTGCTCTTTGGCTGCAGCTCTTCCCTTTGGATTTCACCCTTGGCCCCATCAGAAGTTGCCTGACCTGGTTCCCAAGGTTTGGGAATCCCAAACCCCTTCCAGCCCTCGGAAGGAGCACTTCCCAAGGGCAGGGTTGGGCTCTTGGTCTGGTTTGAGGGATGGGAATCAAATCCCTGCTGGAAGAGAGGAGCCCACAGACACCATTCC